TCTTAAGAACCGACTATGAATACCGTCCATACTAGCGCAAAAATTCTCATAGAATATTTTGTGGAAAAAATAGTTTGTGATAAACAAGCTGCGCGTACATTGGTAGAAATATGGAATGAAACAAGGTAAGTTCATATAACATTCACGTATTTTTATTTATTTATTCTTTATTCTTATTTTTTTGTATTTAAAATCTTAAAAGTAAGATATAAAACATAAATACAAATCACGATAATTTTTTTAATCGCTATTGCTGTTGGAACTATCGACAGTATAGTCCTCGTTGTCACTATCATTATGCTCTATGACTAATTATGCTCTTATGCTCTATGTTCTATGAAGATTCAACTCTTAATGGAGTTGGATCTTCGTGGAACCATAGCTCTACTGGCCCTGGCTGAGGTAATATTTTTCGCCCTAAATTTAATTATTTAAATGATATATAAGTATCAAAGATTACATGACGATAAGCGAACCAAATCGTGGTCGTATTGTCTTGGCGATTATAATGGCCAGTAGAGTCGATTAATATTTCCATTGTTGTTTATCATTTAACTGGCGAAGTAAAAGTAATTTATTCCATTTATATTTATGTTTTATATCTTATTTTTAAGATTTTAAATACAAAAAAATAAGAATAAAGAATAAATAAATAAAAATACGTGATTGTTATATGAACTTACCTTGTGTCATTCCATACCTTTACCAATGTACGCGCAGCTTGTTTATCACAAACTATTTTTTCCACAAAATATTCGATGGGAATTTTCGTGCTAGTATAGACAGTATTCATAGTCGGTTCTTAAGATCGTTCTCGTCAAAGATTGTCCTATTTTCTATTTAAATACATGGCAAGAGATTACCCGTATGTTCTGTGAGGGAAGTATTCACCCGTTACAAATTGGCAGCCAAAAGTCGCGCGACTTACGGGTGGCACAAAAATTTTTGGTCAAGGCCAGCGATGGCAGCATTGTTTTTTTATATTCAGTAATGTTCGAGCTACATTTCCAAAAAAAAAAAAATCGGATGTTCTGTGAGGGAGGTACGGTACGAAAATATGTCACGTTTGAGGGTTGCTGCCATGGTTCCTGTCAAGGTGGGGGGGTAGCAGCATATTTTTTTATTAAAGTGCTTGACATCCTGAATCGATTGGCACAAGTTTCAGCCGGATGTTCTTTAAGGGGGTTTTATCTCAAAAAATCATACCGGAAGTGGCCCTTTTTTTAACACTTTGGTCAAGTTTCAGGGCATATAAAACCCGGCACAGGGTTAACCACTAAAAAAGCTATCTATTCGAATAAAATTCAGCCGGATGTTCGATGAGGGAGGGTTTTGTGCAGCCGGCTCTTGGACTATGTTTTCTACTATAATAAATTTTTTTTAACTTAATTTTTTTTTTTTTTTTTTAATTTATTTATTTCCCCGGAAACAAGGTTTATCATTATCACGGTTCGTGTTTTCAACTTTTCACGCCAACCGAGGTTTACCTCCATCTCCCCCCTGCTTTCGGGGGAAGTGCGGTAGCCCCTCCTTCGTTTACATATGTACTGTTTATACACACACACGTGAAGTATTATTAAAAAATTTATATTACTTTCCAAGCATGAAAAGTTCACGTATATACTTTTTACGCGAACCGAGGTTCACCCCCATCTTCCCCCTGCTTTCGGGGGAAGTGCGGTAGCCCCTTCCTTGCTTACGTGTGTACTGTTTATACACACGTGAAGTATTATTTAAAAATTCATATTATTTATTTTTAACTTTAACACTGTATATCTCAAAAACCAGAGCAGTTAGCTCTATAAGACGTATATACGTTTTTGTTCAGCATTAAAAGTACTACCAGAAACCATCGTCAACGTAAGGCGCCAGAGTTATCGGAATCTTGCCCATTCACTTGAAAATTTCAACATTTTTTTAGTATTTTAAGACAAAAAGTAAGCAAAAAAATATGTGTATCAGTTCTTTTATTTACAATCTTTCATATATATATGCTTTTTCAAAAATTGAGGTGCTAGCATAAGTCAGCAACCTCTCATCTTTGATACCTATTAAATTTTTTCATAAATTGAAAGCTAGAGTAATAGATTAGCAATTAATTATGTCACATATTCGAGCCAATTTTTATATATAATAAACATGTTAAATTCTATTTTTTTTACAGTAATTTATAGTTTCATCTCTTTTTATTAGATGATTTGTAATATAATTATTTATTTTTTATTTCTTCAAATAAATTATATCAGCGTGCATCAAGGCAAGAATATATTTATTTGTGTGCGGGTGCATATAGGCATACGCATAGATATGACGTGTACATGCGTGCATACATGCATCGTATGCGCATTATGCGTTTCCAGTACTAAACAAAGTGTGCAAGTAGAAACTTGCACATTGCTTCCTTATAGTTTTTAAGTGTGCAAGTGGAAACTTGTACGTTGCTTTCTCATAGTTTTTAAGTGTGCAAGTGGAAACCTGTACCGTGCTTCCTTTATGAGAAAGCCTGTTTTTTTTAATGCATAATTATTAGTAGATATTTATTAATTTGGCTTCCTCATAGAGGAAGCACGTTACAGGTTTCTACTTGCACACTTAAAAACTATAAGAAAGCACGATGCAAGTTTCTACTTGCTCACTTAAACAAGTTTTTACTTGCACACTTAAAAACTATGAGAAAGCACGGTACAAGTTTCCACTTGCACACTTAAAAACTATGAAGAAGCACGGTACAAGTTTCCACTTGCACACTTAAAAACTATGAGGAAGCACGGTGCAAGTTTCTACTTGCACACTTAAAAACTATGAGGAAGCACGGCGCAAGTTTCTACTTGCACACTTTTTTTTATGAATAGAGTATCATTAAAGATAGATTGGTGTTCTTGAGTTCTTGAGTTATAGAAATTTCAGTAAACTTGTTTTTTTTTTTTTTTTTTTTTTTTTCCAGAAATTGGTAACTAATCAACCAAATCCAGAACTAATCTTAACGAATTATATATGAAATAAAGGTAGAAAAAACTGAAGAATATAATAGAATTAATAAAAATTATTAACAATAAAAGAGTTACCAATTTCTGTTAAAAAAGAAACAGGCAAGTTTACTGAAATTTCTATAACTCAAGAACTGATTAATTAAATTTTAAAGAATTATATATGAAATAGGGGTAGAAAAAAACTGAAAAATATAATAGAATTAGAAATAGATCAATATCTTAAATATTGAGAAAGCTATAGCGTAAAACACGTTTTTCTGAATAATGAAAATCCTCTTAAAATCCATACCGGTCGACGGATTTTAATAAAATTGGAGGAGAACATACTTTCTATGATACTCTATTTGTGTGCAAAACTTCAACCCAATATCTAAAAAATTGTAGAAATAGATGCGTGTACCAAAAAATCCGTACACACACACACACACACACACACATACATACATACTTCCGGACATTTTCTACTAATATGATTTCTCGACATTTTAGAACATTCTAAATCTATTTCCTTTAAAATCTCGAAAAAAATTTTTTAACCTCACAAAGCTTCCTCTATGAGGAAGCAAAAGAACAAAGTTATATGGTTTTGAGAAAAATATATTTTATTCAAAAATTTTGATAAAACTACTAAAATTATACAACAGTGCTACCTCCGTTTTCGTTAAATGAAATTAAATTTTTAAACATTTTAAACTGCCGTATATGTGCATAAGAAAGGACTCCGCACTAATTATGTAGGAAATGGGATCTCGGTTTAATCGACTAATATTTTAACATATTGTAGCATATGACCTACTGAACAAAAAATATAATGGGCACAAAGCTAAATAATGGACAGTTTTTGAGCTACAGCCACAGTCAAACGCGAAAAATTCGGGCTCAATCTGCAAGTATTATATTCCAAAGGTCGCATGACCACACGTGACGCCGGCGTCACGTGAAATTCATGAAAAGGAAAACAGCGTCAAAATTTCGGCGTCTTCGCGCTGCTTTGGCTTTGACGCTTCAAGTTGGAAAAATCCAACTTCTCTTTCTTGACGCTGGCAACTAGGGCTGCGGCTATCCGGATAAAAATTATTCGAATATTCGGATAACGGATATAATGAATATTCGTTATCCGGATCATCCGATATCTGAATATTTAAATAATCTGCAACAAAATGTTCGAATATTTCGGATATCCGGATAGTGCAGATATCCGGATAATGCGGATATCCAAAAATAGCGTAGATATGCGGATATTCGGATAATATATGAACACTGTTCTTTCGTGAACACGTAGATATTGCACAATGTCAGATTTGTTTGCAATCTGACCGATGAGCATTTTATTCTTCTTAAAGGGGTATTCACATTCGAAGCGTCGAAAAATAGGCGTATTTCACAAATTTTTTGCGGGAGCCTAAAGTATTGGCTACTTACAAGGATTTTACATGGATTATATCTACCTCCAAGGAGCTACTTTTGTTTTACCTACATAATGATGAGAAGGCCATGATTCCTTAATCTCCTGGAAATTAACAAAACTTTGCCTCGTGGGGACAGATGAAGACGCATATCTTGTTTATGTTTTATCATAGTTTCACACAGTCATTTAATGTTTTGCGAAAATGACAATTGATCACATGTTTCACACACGGTTTTGCATATCAAGAGACACGGTAGTGTCTCGCGCCAAGTACGTGTTTCATACACGCAATGCGCTGACCCAAGCAGAACAGAAAGTCAGATGTTATCAAAATAACGACAATATTATTTATTTATTTAGTCGACCATACATGCCTTTTCAAGTCACAGCAAGTATTAGATAATGCACAGAAAAGAACAAGGTTCACTGTAAGAAAAACAAAGACTATCATATATATAAAAAAGGAAAATAAAAATCTTTTTTATTTATTTACTCTTTTAGACAAACAAAGACTATCATATATATAAAAAAGGAAAATAAAAATCTCTTTTATTTATTTACTCTTTTAGACAAACAAAGACTATCATATATATAAAAAAGGAAAATAAAAATCTCTTTTATTTATTTACTCTTTTAGACAATTCTATTTTAGTAGGTTTCCCAGATTCTACAGTTATTTAGCTGAAAAACAAAAAGATTGCTATTCTAACATAAAAAAGCAAAAACAGAGTGACTGCAAAAACAGGCCAAAAAACGCCTGTTTTCACCCTTGTCTTTTTTCACTCTTGAATTTAGACTTCTACTTAGTTAGTACTAAATGATAGTCTATAATGAGTCATGAATCCTCAGAAAGTTTCAGATTGAGCCGGGTTTGAAAAAAAGGCGAGGGAACTCACTCTAATCAAGCAGCCCAAAAGTGAGAGGGGACTCACTTTAATCACATTTATACTAACATATATTCGCGTATACCTGTAAATAATCACATAACAGCGAACGAATACGTTTTTTGAACCTATTATTATGTAAGTTTCCATTTCAACGTTTTAAACGTTTTAACAGCGAATACGCAACCAACTTTGACCTTCCATATCTTGAAAATAAAAAGCCGGCTTAATCTGAAACTTTCTGAGGATTCATGACTCATTATAGACTATCATTTAGTACCAAGTAGAAGTTTAAATTCAAGGGTAAAAAAAAAGGCGATTTTTGCGGTCACTCTTTCAGACAACAAAAATAATTAATTAATTAGAGTTAATTAGAGAAAATTACTGAAAAATATATTAGTGTAACTCAACCAGACATTATAAATTAAATGATGAAAAACTGGACTATTTAGGATTACTTAGGTCAAATAAGAGACCTATTTTGGTGCAGAAATATTAAATGAGATACATTCTCTGGTAACAAACAACTTCGTTTCGCCGAGACAATGTTTCCTGCAGTGTAAAACACCCTTTCCGCTGTAGCAGATGAGGCGGGAATGCACAAAAGCTGGCGGGCTATTTTAGCCACTGCTGGAAAGCATACTTCATGTGCCTTCCACCAAGCGCACAGATCAAGATTATGGTCAATCTGAGTTTCCGCGACGTATTTGGCAAAATCATCACCCTCATGATTTTCGTCCATTCCGAGAAGGAAATCCATGACCGTCGAGCCTTGACGCTGCTCGTTGCCATTAGGTGTGGCTAAATGTCTATGGTTTAAATTAGTGCGCCTTTGCACTTCTGTGTGTATAAATGAGCGTACACTTTCAGATGGTTCCGCTATCAACTTCTTATGTCGAGGATCGAGTAAAGTGGCCATTTGCATCGCTGTCACTTCATTGTTAACGTTAATATTTTTCATCTTGAATCGATCAGTGAGGTCTAAGGCCGCTCGAACTTTAAAAGTTCTTTGTAAAGAACTGTCATCGTCCTTTACCAGTAAATGGCGATTGATTAAATTGTAGATAATGAGACGCACTATACTCAATGTGATGGACTTTTCGGCGCATAAGATTGTGGTTGCTTGTTGGAATGGTTTTAGCAATACTGTAAGCTGCATAACTTTTACCCACTCTGCTTCGCATAGTTCTAACTTAGCAGCAATCGCCGACTTGAATACGGACCGGTCACTTAAAGCTGCCATAATGCCGGATCGCAAAGTTTGAAGTCTATCTAACATAAAGAATGTGGAATCCCAACGTGTCGGACATCTCTGCATCAGTCGCAATGTTGGCAATCCGAGACTTTTCAGCTTATCCTCTAAAGCGGTTGTTCTGCTATAAGAATGCCGGAATGCACTAACAATCTCTGCCCCTTTCTTTATCACAGACACACATTCTGGTGCTTCTAAGGCTGTATTGACAGACAATTGTATGGTGTGTGCTGCACATCGTACACTGAGCATACCGTCCGTATCGCCTAGTTCTTTAGCTGCCTTAACAATATTACTAGCATTGTCATGTACAAGTCCAGTAACTTTGTTAGTTAAATTCCATTCTTGCACAACCTCGCGAATTGTTTTCTGCAAATGCTCAGCAGTGTGGCTCTCAGTCATTTCTCTCGTCATCAAATTGACGGTGTGTGGGATCCAGTTGTCATCAAGGTAGTGTGCTGATAATGTTATATAACTGTCATTTGCCTTAGACGTCCACGCATCTGTTGTAATGGCTACAGCGTCGACTTTATCTAATGTGGTGCGCACCTGTTCCGCTGCCTCGTTGTACAAAGTGCGCATTCGGTTGTCAATCGTCCTTCTTGAAGGTACTTTGTAACCTGGAGCACTGATAGCCATGAACTGAATAAAACCTTCATTCTCTACAATCAATGTTGGGAGCATGTCGATCGCAATCATTTTGCAAATAGCCATGGTGATATCCTCTGCACGTCTAGAATTCACAAGTTTTTTCGTTGAAATAATATTTTGAGATGTAGTGAAGCGCCTTTTCTTGCTGTTAGGTTTTGACTGCTCACATTCTTGGTCTAGGCCATTAGAACTCGAGTCAGAATCGCTCATGGTGTGCCTGGAAACCAGTAAAGTTTTGAAATTTTTATATTCTAAATTCATAGTAATAACTTTTTATCTAAATTGTGAATTAATCTGAAATTTGGTCCCGAACTTTAAAAGAGAATACAAAATATTAGATATATACACGGAGAGAATTTTCTCTTAAAATTTACCCTGAAATCATGGTAGTTGTGGAACAACATGTACCACCAAGAATTTTATGCGAGCTATTCTGATTAATATCTACCATAATAAAAAATATTAATATCTATTACATTAAAAGATAAATTATGTTTGATTAATTTTACTAAAATATATCTAGGAAATTTCAATAATTTTTTAAAATTTACCAATTTGTTTGGTAATTTTTATCACGTTGTTTGTAAAATGTCTTTTGTATATTTTAAAAACTTCTTGGTTGCCAAGTTGTCCCAAGTTTGTAGTGAATTTAAGAGTAA